GCACGATATCAACTCACTGCAACCTCCATCTCCCAGGTTCAAGTGATCTTCCGGCCTCAGCCTCCCAAGTAGCTGGGACTATAGGCACATGCCACCATAATTTTTGTATTTCTTTTGTAGAGATGGCGTTCTGCCATGTTATCCAGGCTGGTCTGAAACTTTTGAGCTCAAGCGATCCACCCACCTCGGCCTCCCAAAGTGCTGGGTTTATAGGTGTGAACCACTGCGCCCAGCCTACAATTAATTTTTGTTTTATTAAATATTACTTGCATAATTCCAACAAAGTCTAAGTGTTTGTGCGTGTGTTTGTGTTTAAATACCTGTATATTTGATCTTGTTTGGTTACTAAGCTAATGTTAAATTCTTTCTTAATGACACATAGGAAGTCCCAAGGCAATTCTTATGTGTAGACCCACCCATCTATCAGGCCGCTGTTAAATACAGAGAGAATGTCTTTGATGTGGAATTGCTTATAGCTGTGCAGTAAATGCCCATAAAATAAAAGTGAATTGACAATGATGTATTACAAATTGCTTCACACAGAAAAAAACAAAACAAAACTGGAGGTTCTGTGGCCAAAGGTATAGCTTCTTTTTTAAACAAGTAAGATAGCAATAAATTGGCCTGTGCTGTGGCTCACGCCTGCAATCCCAGCACTTTGGGAGGCCAAGGCAGGCAGATCACTTGAGTTCAGGAGTTCGAGACCAGCCTGGTCAACATGGTGAAACACCATCTCTACTAATAAAAATACAAAAATTAGCCACACTGGACAGTGGCGTGATCATAGCTCACTGCAGCCTTAAACTCCTGGGCTCAAAGGATCCTCCCACCTCAGCCTCCTGAATAGCTGGGATAACAGACATACCACACCCAGCTAATTTTTAACATATTTTTAGAAACAGGGTCTTGACATGTTGACCAGGCTGGTCTTGAACTCCTGGCCTCAAGAGATCCTCCTGCCTTAGCTGGGATTACAGGCATGAGCCACTGCATCTGGCCAAATTCAAATCTTGGGCCCAAATGACACCCCTTAACTTGAAACTTGAACACTAACTTGCCTTCTTGTCACTTGGATATCCGACAGTCGCCTCAAATTTATCCAAAACAGGTCCTTCTCTCTCTCTCTCTCTCTCTTTAATTAATTAATTTATTTATTTATTTATTTTTGAGACAGAGTCTCGCTCTGTTGCCCAGGATGGAGTGCAGTGGCTCAATCTCGGCTCACTGCAACCTCCACCTCCCAGGTTCAAGCGATTCTCCTGCCTTAGCCTCCCGAGTAGCTGGGACAACAGGCGGGTGCCACCGCCCCCGGCTAATTTT